CAAAGCTCAAAGCATCCATTAGATAACAACAAGCATGTGCATCAAGTTCAAAGAGAACTCTTTGAGCTTTGGTGAGATTTTTATGGTCCAAGACATGAGTGAGACCACTAGTGACAATCCACCAAAACTTAGGTCCCTTTGCACGAAAATGATCAAGCATGTGATTTTTCCAAAGTGCAAAGTTTGTGCCATAAAAAATGTGTGTCTCACAACCATCTAGCCCACTAGATGCCATCCTCTCGGGTCGGTGAAGACCACAAATGAGAGACCTCACTCCGATACCACGTGTAGAGTCAAGATGGCGGACTAGAGGGGGGCGAATATCCTTTCTAAAATTAATCGTGCCGGTTAATCGAAACAAATGCGGAATTAAATCTATCGGTCTAGCCAAGACTACACCTCTCTATCTATGTTCTCAAGCACCTTAAAAATATCCTAAACTTGCAACTAAGATGCCGAGGCTAGCTAGAGCGCACCTAACCAATTCTAGGAGCAAGGTCACCCAAACCTATGCCACTAGTACTTCAAGCAACGGGGAGCTCCTACACATGCTAGTAAGCAAAAAACACAAAGCCACCTAAGCTCACTAGCAATGCTCAACAACAAGGCTACACAAGCCAAATTATAGAGTGCAAATTACTTAGCTACATAAACTAAGCAATGTGACTAACAAGGTTACTCAAACCGAATTAGTCACGTAAGAGAGCTACTTCTATGCTACACAAGTAAGAAGGTAACTAGCAAGCTACACAAGCTAACTAATTACAAGAGCAACTACACAAGCACAATGTATATGAAAGTAAATATAAGCTTGTGTAAAGGGATGCAAACCAAAGGAAAGAACAATGTTGACATGGTGATTTTTCTCCAGAGGTTCACTTGGTTGCCACCAAGCTAGTCCCCGTTGTGTCAACCACTCACTTGGTGGTTCGGCGGCTAATTGGCATCACCCGCCAAGCTTACACGTTGGGCACCGTAAGAACCTACCCACAAGTGGGGGTAGCTCAATGACACGCTCTACTAGACTTGCTCTTCGTGGCTCCTGCGGGGTGAGCACAATCCCCCTCACAATCACTTCTCCGGAGCACCGCACAATCTTCTTTGCGTGCTTCGACGGAGACCACCACCAAGCCATCAAGGAGTTGGCAACCTCTAATAGTAACAAGCACCACCGGCTTGCAACACGAATACCTAGTGCCACTCGATGCAACCTCATGATGCAATCACACTCGAATAGCACTCACACTCAATTGGATGATCGCTATCAAGCGTATGTGAGTTAGAGGGCTCTCAAGCACACCTACACAAGCCACCAAGGCTTAAGGGTGCTCAACAACTAGCCCAAGGCCGAGATCCACCTCTATTTATAGCCAAGCCAAATAGAGTCTTTGGAGCAAAATATCCCTTTTCTGCGAGGGCACTGGACAGGGTGGTGCCTGGCACCGGATAGGGCGGTGCCCCTCCAATGGTCAAGTCCCAATGGATAATTTGAACTAGCCATTGAGCCCCTGGCACCGGACATAGGGTGACGGTGACCACCCAGGCCAACCCTTGAAAACTGCACTCTTTGGAAAAAAGCGGCGGCACCACCGCCGGACTGTCCGGTGACCATGGCGGTGCCCTCTTCTGGTCAAAACCAAGAACCACCATATCAATTTTGTAGAGCATTTCATTAGCTTTCCGAAAAGTCCTAGATCATTGAAATCGGAGTTCGAAGCTAAGAGTTATGCCCAAAATACGAAAGGGTGGTTGTGCTGATTTAGGCACGCTACAGGGGGTGGTGGTGCCACCGCCCTAGGGGGGCGGTGCACATGAGAAATGGCGGTGCCACCCCCAGGTTGGGCTACGCGCTGGCTGCAAGTTTAGTTGCATTTTCCGACCCTCGGACAACCCAAACTTGCTCTTTTCATCTCCTTTTCCCCTCCAACTTGATCCAAATCACCTCCAACAACTCCTCCTTTGCAAAAGTGCTAACAACACTATGTGTTCACCATCTTGTGCATGTGTGTCAGCTTTTCACAAATGTTTTCAAAGGATTAGTCACTCAATTCACCACGCCACTCGATTCTACAAACGATGCAAAGTTAGATCACTCGAGTGGCACTAGATGACCGATATGCAAACAAGTTTGCCTCTCTTAATAGTATGACCATCTATCCTAAGCCCGGTCATAAACTTCTCTACACACCTATGAACGGTGAAATGAAATGCCCTATAGGTTATACCTTTACCTGGGCATTCCATTCCATCTCCTCCAATGTTGATACAACACATGCACCAACCATATCACGAATGATATGATCCACTTCATATCATCACGTGACCTTGTTGGTTCATCGATCTTAAGCTCACTTGCTTTTCACCATTGCCTTCGTCCATCGGCGCCAAGTCTTGCCCAAGCTTCACCGCCACGCGGTCCATTGCTCCAAAGCCTCTAACTTGCCCTTCATGCTTGCAATCGGTCCATCCAGCCAAGTCTTGTCTTGATCTTCTCCACCTTAGTCACATGACTCCATATCATGTCTCATATGCAATGTGCTCCTTCATCACATGTATGAGCTTTGCAACATATCCAAGCCATTTCACCTCTATGGCATGAGTTGCTCACACAAGTGTACCTGTAGACTAATCACCTGTGTATCTCACATTTAAACATATTAGTCCACCTAGGTTGTCACTCAATTACCAAAACCAAACAAGGATCTTTCAATCGTGTCACATTTGAACTTCCATGACGAATCCGAAAACATCGTCATAGAATTGTTTTGATCTGTAACGAAAAATTGACCGTCATAGAACTATTTTGGTATGCGTGGCAGGGGGCTGCCACGTTGGTGGGTGCTTCCGTTGGAGATGCTTTCTACGTGTACATTCTATAGCCGGTTGCATTGGAGATGGTTCGTATACGTGTCGCCTTCTTATTGCACAACGTTGTAGGTTGATTCCAATTTGGTATCTTTTACTGGTTGCGTTGGTTGTGTTGCCATTAATCATCAAAAAGGGGGAGATTGTAAGAAATACGGACCCTAGCAAAGTTTTTGGTGGTTGGTTGACAACATATAACCGTTTGTACTGCTAGTACACAAGGCACATTAGTCCATAAGATGCAGTCATGCAATGATGGATCACTTGAACTAGGATATGGTGATGATCAAGGAATCAACACCACAAATGAAGATGAAAAAGGGGCAATGAAGATCTAGAACATAAGAAAGAAGCTCAAGACATCAAGAAGAAGAAGCCTAGACAAAAAGGATGCAAAGAAATGACATTCGAGCCTTTTAGTGGCACACTTGAGCTTTCTAATGAGGCCTAGTGCGAGGCCAGAAGATGAAGTAGTGCACAATGCACTTCCGATGCAACATGGAGGTTTGAGTACAGAGAAGGTTCATAGGTGCGATGGATGAGAAAGAGAGCACTGGAGCTCTCTGGTGATCAACAAAAAAAGGGCACTAAAATTATGGGTGCTATTCAGTGAAGAAAAAAGAGGGATGGACAACGCACTAGAATTATTTCGTGTAGGCATCAGATAAACCACAAGAGAAAAGAAGACAGACAACGGTAATTAGTACACATGGCAAGGGACCGGATTTGTCCGGTGTGACCATTAGAACTTCTAGTGCTCGCTGCTAAGGCAACCTTTGCTTTTAACGGCTAGTTGCTGGTAGTTCAGGGCTATGTATATACCCACATACTTGACCATTTGGACTGTGTTAGAGCTGGCTGAAGGTATAGTTGAGTCGAGGCTCAGAAGATTAGAGAAATTAGCAATGGCAGTAGGGATAGTGCTTAGGCTAACTTTGACCACATATAGCGCTTGCTCTAGGGTTAGGCCTAGTGTTTAGTGAGGTTTGCATACGCCCTTGCTATTGGTGATTGCGCGTACCAAGTTTATACAAGCGGGGCTTGTAATTTTGAGAGATCACACCAACTAAGTTTATGGCATGGTCGCTACTGATGGTGTACGAGAGATGAGAAGCCCTCGACGTTTTGGCCGAAGCTCTCCATTGTGAAGATGATGGGGGACAGTTCGGGAGAGACCACACGGAGAATCGCTTGTGCGTGGAGAAGGCTCGTGGGCTATCCGCTAAGTTATCTGACCGGGAGTTTAGCCCTTGCGACGGGCTCTAGCTAGCTCTAGCGGAGAGCATCAAGTTTCCGATAGCCAGTAAAAAAGATCATCGTGCGGGAGTTAGCATTATCTAACTCATTTGCGTTTCCGCATTTATTTTACAATTTCTTGATGTGTGCCTTACCTTCCTTGTCTGTCTTGCTAGGTTAGTTGATATGATTGAAACATAGGGTGTAAAACTTTTTTTTTGCGTTAGAGATATTAACACATTTAGAAAAAACAGATGTACAATTAGAGACTTACGTAGATTCTTATAAGTGGTTTTGAGCCTTATTTTGAAAGCGACGTAATTCACGCTTTTTTCTCAATTCCTTGTCACTCTCAATCATGTTCATGTGGCCCCAATTACCTTGCTGATTTTTTTTTTGAACAAACCATGAATACTCATTCCAGATCTTGTCCCTCCTAAAAATTTTAAGCACGCCATATATATTCAAACATTTTCATGTTCCACATTGTAGCGTTTTTTAGCATTCAAATAACCAAAATAAATAAACTCCAGATCGTCTTCTGAAATTTACGAACATCTCAGAAATTCAAATAAGTTATCTACTCCTCATTTCGTAGAACTTTCCAAATGCGCTGAAAATAGCACGTCGAGAACAACAACAGCTCTGACCCTGATCCATGATGGGTCAGTCAGTCAGTAAAACTACTGCATCAGACCATCAGTACGTGTTGAATTTCCCTCTTTCAAAGAGCATAGGCAATGCTGACGGATATATGAACATTAGTACAAGCTGACATTATTATCGTACAAATTATTGACATCAGTAATCATACGACGATGCATGAGGAATACGTACGGTACATGTGGCTGGGCTAAACTACCTGTTCGTTCGTCGATCCACCAGCGCACTAAGCTTATCTACCGCAACCAGACGTGCTGCAGGCACCTCTGATCGCTGATGGACATGTCGGCGACGGCGACTGTGGCGGTGCAGTTCATCTCCAGCACCACGCGCCGGTGCACCAATCCGCCCAGCACGGCGACGCGGCCGCGCACCCGCGTGGCAGTGGCCACCGCGACGGCGCCCGCCACCACGACGTCCTCCAGGAAAGCCGGGTCCCCCAGGAGCGCGCCCACGGCGACGTCCACCGTCACGTTCAGGCGCACGGTCCGCCGCGCCGGGGCCGTGCCCGGAGGGCCCAGGGCCTGCCCAACCTGGCGCGCGCGGTAGTACACCGACGTCTCCGTCGCGCCGTACCGCAGCGACGCCGCGTTAGGGTTCTTCACCGACACGTCCGCCACCACCGTCAGGGTCAGGAGTGGCGGCGGCGTCGACGAGGCCGAAGACGACGACGCGACGGCGGCGCCGGGGTCCTTGAGAGAGATGGCGTTCATCGTCATCACGGGCTCGCGGACGCGGTAGACGGTCAGCGTCACGGCGAGCAAGGCAGCGGCGATGAGGATGCTGATAATGCCGCATGAGATGAGCACGCAGCGGAGGCGCAGAAACGGGGTTCTGACCACGGCGTTGCTGCCCATGGCATCACCGGTGGATCGGATCATCGGAGGCCAAGTGCTGGTAATTGGTTGGAAGAAGAGAGGTAGGACAACGGTGCGAGTGAAGCTAGTAGTGGAGACATGTGGTAAGTAGTGAGTGGGTGATGATCACGGAGGTTAATGGTTTTTTTTTCAAACGAAAGAAGAATTATATTAGATAATAGCTGAGTACATCGACACGTTATCAGTACTCTGTATTACACAGATATTCAGAAACTAATTTTCATTTAAATTGTACCCACATTGTGAATGTCTCTAGATCTCAAAACAAAACCTGGACGACGCTTTGCAGTATGGATGACCGCACAGGTAAACACTCGGCAAAAGGCCTAAGAACAAATGTCCAACGAACGACGGCCAACATTCATGTAGGTGGAGTTGAGAAACTTCTTTCTGGTATCTTCCTTCTTCTTCTTTCTGCCACCGAAGAATGAGGAAGACCGATCTTAAACTTAATCTCCTTAGTCCTTCGTCATGGCTAGATCTAACCACAATAAAACGGAGAGAGACCGGAGAAAATTATTCCATGGCGGCGACACCATCTCCGTCTTGATGTCGCCATCCGGAAATAAAAGTCTCCATGACATACTGGTGAGGATGCTGACGCCGTAGTTGTCATCCTCGTCTTCAAGAGAGCGGCATGGAGAAAACGATTCCATTATGCCCTCTCGCCGTCGCCGGAGAGGAGGAGGAGATAAATCCTCAAAACCAAAAAACTTGGCATGGAGAAACCCTAACCCTAATGACTCAATCTACTGAAAAAAACTTATTAAAAACGATGGATCCCCACTCCCTCCGGCCTCCGGCGATATGCCGGAGGGGGGAAGGAGGGGAACCAATGGTGGTGGAGGCAGGGGCAGCGGCGGCGCTCCGAGCGCGAGACGTGAGACCTGGCCACGGAGGTTAATGGTTTATGCCCTGTTTGGATGCAAAGTATCTTTGAAGTATTGGAGAAATATTATAGTTTTACAAAATACTTTGGTTTTCAAAAACTACTGGATGTTTGGATGCAACAAATCTTGTAGTATCTAAAACCATGATTTTGTCAAAAGCTGTAGGATTGTTGGAGTTTTAGAAACTCCACTCATAACCTCTTTTTTCTAAACCACGGTTTTGTATCTCTTTGGCTTATAAAATCATAGTTTCGTGATACTACAGTTTTGAAAAAACACATCATCCAAACAGGTTAAATATTTTGTTTTGTGATTTTATGATGGGATTCAGCTTGCATTGGTGATTGGATGTTTCAATTTTGCGTAGAAGTCAAAGCTTCAGTGTCACTCTTTTTTCCTTTCTTCACCTAAATCATTTATGCTTTCTAACATTTTAGCCAAAATTTAATATGTTCTTATAAACCACCCTAAACTATAATATCATATTTTCACTGTTCCTTGCAGATTGTAGTACTTCTTTCATCGTCACTAATAACACACCCCAAAAAAATTGTATTTTGGGATGTCAATGAGTAACCATAGAGTAATGTTTTTTACAAAATTTTCTAAAATTACTCAAACATCTAGTTAAATAAGAACAATATGGCTAGAGGAAATATTGTTTTATAAAGTCAAACCAATATTATTCACACATATTCTAGAAATGGTTTTTTATACACATGCCAGTTGCATGGTTTTATTTGTGTGCAAAATATGTTTCAAAATGTTTTTGAAAAGCGTTTAAGTTTTGAGGGAGTCTAGATATAGCATGCCACTGGGTTACTTTGGTGGTGGGTTAGTATTTCCATAGCTTCCACTTATGGATCTTGTTGGGAAAACAAGTAGAGTCTGGAAGAATTTAGGGGCCTCCTTACTATCGAATCATCTATACAAGAGGTTATGGAGTTGGTTGTGCAAGTGCATCATCACTGAAGTTATCATCTAGGAAGAAAAGATGGACACCTGATAATTTCTGCCAATGTTTGCTGCTGAAAAGATGGATACCTGATAATGCTGCCAATGTTTGCTGCTATGACAGGAAGAAACAACTGCTGAGTATGCTAGAACTGGATGAATTACAGAACTAAATATTCAAAAGGAAAATTCCTTTGCAAGTTGCTCAAGATCCCTTGGCCACCACTTTATATTCTTTTATCAGTGTAAGTGTGTAACACAAGTGTCCGTATCAACCAAATGAGATTCTACCATTGGATCATGTCGTGTGAAGACACTTTCGTTGCAAGTTCTTTACCATGGTACATCCTGGAAAGCAGGGCGCGATGCATACAGTCCAAGCATCTTTGGCTAGGACCTGTTCAGATGGTCAGTGATGCCTACTACCAAATCAAGGTTACAATGATCAGATGAATGACCAGTCAGAATTATTCCTTCGATGAAACACATAATGCAAATATGTTCTGAATGCAGAACTGAAGGCAGTGGCATATCAGCTCTTGCCTGCTACTATTTCCTTTGGAATACTTGTGTACTGGGATGAGGTTTTATTGCAATGATCCAGTGCACTTATTTGTAGCTATTAGGTACAAGAAATGCAAGTATATCAATGTACAAGTCAACCCAAGATGCAATTGCAACAATGTGGACCAATGCAATTTCTTTTACCAGCTTTGCTATTGATGTCCCTGAATTGGTTTCACAAGAGATAGCAATGGAGATTGAATTGAAGATGCCATGGGTTCAAGGTGTTACTGCAATTCTTATTAGCAGAAGAAATTCAAAGGGTTATGGGAATTATCGGCTCCTGGTAAGCTGAATTTCAAGAAGAGGATGTCATGGGCATGTTCATGGTCAATGCTACGGGCAGTTCAACAAGCAAGGAAGGTGTAGGCTGGTATTGACGTGACCCACGGAAGTTACGCTGTGCAGTACAAAGAGAGCCGTCGAACACAAGCGATGGGGTCATTAAACGACCAGAACTGAACTCCGTGGAGGCGAGCGGGCCGGGAGCTCGAGTCCCCTTCCCCGTTCTGCTCGATCTATCCCCTTCCCCTTTTTCCTTCTTCTACCTCCTGTATCTGTTTCCTTGTATTTAGAGCCTTCAGAACCTCTAATCTACTACTCAGTGTCCAATAGTTGCATAATACTTGTGTCCAATTTAGTTGCATAATACTTGTGGGTTGCTGACATATATAAGCCTCTTTCGATAAACGATAATGTTATGTTACGGGCGTCCGTATGTTGACTCCCGTCCGGACGCGGCTCATCCTCATCCACTCATCCGCGTACCACGCCTGCCCGCTCTGCGCTGCGCGTCGCCGCTCGCGCGGGACGGACTCTGCTCGCTTGGGACACACTCTGCTGGCCCGCACCGCCCCTGCTCACGGGACATTCGCTCGCCGGCGCCGACCCCGCTCGTGGCTTGTGGGACGGAATCCGTCGGCGCGCCCCCACGTGCCTCCCCCGCCCGGACTCGCGCCTCCCATCTCGGCCGCGCTCCATCCGCCTACCGCGGCCACTGCCGAAGTCCATGCCGCCGACGAGCTCCACACCGGCGACCTTTGCGTACTCTGTGACATCAAGCTCCGCGACGGCGTCGAGCTCCACAACGACGAGCTCCATTCGTCCAAGCAACAAGGTGACATTGCTCTGAAACCGCATGTTGCAAGCGTATGTTTCAAGTGTTTCAAAGATATGTTGCAAGGTTTCGTATCGATGTTGTAAAAGTAGATCGATATGTTGCATATGTTACAATGGTTGTACACTTACGTTGCAAACGTCTATTCCCAATGTTTTTTCAGACGTATGTTGTAAGTGTGTTTATCTCGACGTTGCATATGTTTCACACATATGTTGCAAGTGTTTTATCTGGGTGTGTATGTGTTGCAATGTTTTTTTCAAGTGTTTCATATGTTTTTTAAGTATTCATACGTATGTTTTAAACGTTTCATTTGTCTTCAGACGTATGTTGCAAGTGTTGTATCTGGATGTTTCAAAAGTCGATCGGGTGTTGCATCTTCCTCCTCGCCTTCTGCTGCCTCACCTTGGTGTCTCCTGCCTTCTGCAGACTGGGAAGGGGGCAGGTAGCGCTTCAGTTCATTTTTCATGTTACGCGGGGATGCTTAGAAGGGATACTCCCGTAGGCCTGAGACGAGCTGGACCACGGTTCGGTTGGCTGGGATTGGGAGCTGTGTCTGGACACGCTGCTGGCGCCGGACGTCCGGACGCTAGTGCCTCCGTTTGATAAAAAAACATATTTAAGCCTCACTATAGCGGATTATATAAATAAAAGGATAAAGATAGAGAAGTAGCCTCCTCAAGATAAGTTGAAAAATATCTTTTGTGCCCATAGAAAGCCGATCATCTCTTACTTGTCTAATGTAAAATAAGCCTATATATTAGGAGAAAAGAATTGAATTGAATTCCCTCTCCACTGAAGTAGTATGCTTCCCATGTTCCAATCTCAAAGACAGTGTACTGTTTCCCTTTCATAGCATTTCAATATAAATATTAGCGGAAGCTAAATTTAAGCGAAACGAACGGCCCAGATCTCCAATAACGGACGCGCTTGGTTGCCATAGCTGCTGCGCAGCAGCCATAAAGCCATTGCTATAGTATCGCTGAGTGACTTGTTCTATAGTGACAGTTTTTTTTTTTTTTTTTTTTTTTTTTTGCCAGAGGGAGTATCTTTAGTGTCCGCATCACACGCCATCAACGCGCACAGCAAACTCGGCGATCTGCACAGAGGAGGAACAGGTCTTTGGAGCACAGGAAGCAATGCCCATCACTGACGCTCAAACCCCATGTATCAACGCCTCCACTCCAGGAACTAACAATCAAATGACAGGCACAACTCCTTTACATGCAGATCACGGTACAGGCAGCAACATCAGGATGCCTACAAATGAACAACAAGGGCAAAACACTAGTGATGCTGCAACGCCAGGTGTGACCACCATCATTGCAGGACACAATATTACGCCGATTAATCCGACGTACAGGAACAGCGTGACCTTGGTCGACAGGCTCACGGTCCATCTACCAGGGCTACTGCAAGGTGTTCGGTGCTACACTGATGCATCAATAACACCTGATCTTCCATCATTTCCGCCCAGAGCCAGAGCTGCAGGTATTGGCCTCTTTATTATTAATGCTCAGGTTAATCCGGCACAAACCATCTACATCAAGGCGAAGATGACAAGGGCTACATCAATGCTGATGGCCGAAGTCGCTGCAATTTCCCTTGCTGCAATTGTCACTGATCGGCTACATCTACAACAAATCAATTCTCTCATATAACCAGCAGCTTGTGCATTTCCTTAATGCCGAGGACCAAGCAAACCCACCAGATTGGAGGATCAAACACTTTACTCAAGTGTTCACTAACCACACAAGGCAAGGAGATAGAAGAGTTTTCAAGATTCAAAGATCCCAGAACCGTACAGCTGACAATTTCAGCCTGTTCACTTGAACGTAAACGATCGTGGATTATAAGCCAAAACAATATTTTTCTCTCACACCAAACCAGCCAGCAGTAATAATCCACGATCGTTTCAGCCGAAACGAACAGGTTGTTAGCTAGGCAAGCCCTATCTCAATCTCAGTCAGCTTTTCTAATAGAGCTCATGTAACTTAGTGCCCGTTTACTCTGTAAGGGTGTTATCAGCTTCATGCTGCTGAAATAAAACTGATTGTTGTCAAAAAAAAAACGCGCTGAGTCATGCACCATCGAAGGATGTGTGTGCGGATACATGAAAAGCAGCTAATTTATTTCGTTGGTTTGGACGAGGAGAGTTTGTACTTGTACCGCAACAGCGGTTCGTGTTGGTGAGACAACAAACCAAACTGTGACACGCTGCGCGGACCGCCGGAAAGGCACCAGTGCCAATGTGCCATGGCCACGTTTTCTTATCTTCGTGCGCGCTGGCGCTGCCTGCAGCAGGCTCCTCTCCTGCCGACCCTCACCAGATCCATAGAGATCGTGATGACAGCTCTCACTGTCACTGGCCTGCCACAAACTAATTTATTTATTATAAATGCAACGAAACATACCGTGGATACGTATATCAGGACAGCTAGAGGATATACACATGAAAAAGACTTCAATCCGATTCTTGAAGACGAATGAGGGCTTATTGATTTGTGGTCAAAATTTGACATGCCATGGATTTAGCAAACTAAAGTTGAGTACAAATTTTACCATGAATTTGGTAAGCCAAATGTGATAAGTTGATTAGTTTTAGTAGCTAACCAAACGATAGTCAAAATCGTAGCTTACCAAATCTTCGGCTTACGTATCTTGGAAGGCCACCAATCAGGCCCTGAATTCTCGTAGCCTCTCCCGTCAAATTTCAGAAGGTTCGGGGAAAGGAAGCACACACACTTGACAGACCCGTCCAAACTCCAAAGCACGATCACAGGAGGCGTAGCAAGAAAGAAAGGCCCAGCGCCAAAGAAAAAGTCAGCACACCAAGAAAGTGGGGAACTGCTTCTGCCTCCACTCCTCCAGCCTCCTGCTCGTCGATCCTGCCGCTCCACAAGCTTGATTCCTCGCTCGGCCATGGCTGCACCCGCGGAGGAGACGCCCGCCGCCAAGGATACGGCGTCCTCGCCGCCGGCGGCGGCGAGGTCCCGGGGGTTCTGGTTCCTTGGGGAGGACAAGTCTGTCCACAAGGCTCTCGGCGGGGGTAAAAGTATGAGGCCTTTTCTCATCTTCTTGCCTTATTGTGTTCTTTTTTGTTTTTGGCTAGTTGATTGCTTCGTCGGACAGGAATTCTGCGCTCCTTAAGTAAGCACGACACGATTCGTGTAGGCGGATTTCTTTTCCGCCTATCGATTTCTTGAACGCGGTAATTAGTTGTTACGTTTAGCTCCAGTCATCGCTGCCTTGCTAGGAGCGGAATTCTTTCATTCTTCCTCTAGGGCTATTCACAGTTCGCGAGGGTTTCTTGATATGGGTACAGAACTACGGATAGTTCTTAACACCCAGTAGTTTTTATTTTTGTCAGTTTACTTGAGTAGTTAGGCTGTGAGCGCCGACCAGTACAGTAATCTCTGTCTTCCAGACTTTCATGCCTCTGTTCTTGTTGAAAGGCGCAGGTTCATCTACGAGTTTAATATGTCCTTAGGAAATTTCAATTATATCACATTTAAATATGCACTGATGGATTGGGGTTTTATTATTTTGCTGTACCCCTACAAAGCAGTAAATACGTAGCCAGCTTTCGGCGACTGAGTGCAGATAATCACGGAAAGTATCATTTCTATCCAGTCGGCGATTTGGGGCTTCTCCAATCTACATATATATGTAGTTGTCATCCTAAAGCCAATAAGTATCTGGATTTTGCTTGTTTAAAAGAAAGGTTGTGGATTCTGTTTATAGACATGGGAATGGGAATGCTACAAATTCCTCAAGATTTCCTAGCTTTTCAGGAATGCAACGATTAGCATATCATGCTATTAACACAAAGAAACTTTGGATTACAAAGACATTTTCCACATCCGCAGCTAGGATCTGACAAAAAATCCTAAACACAGATACACTGCTATTTATCTGGAACTGTTTAGGTAGGGGAAGATTCAATACTTTTAAACTAAATTCTATAAGCATCTTACATGATCAGTATGTTCCCCTGAATCCCCTGCGACAGCAACAGGTTCCCCTGTTGGCGTCGACTTCCTGCAGCGCCGGCTGCTGATTCCAGTATGCCCATCGTAAACACATGTGTTGACCGAACAGCCGCTAAGGTGATGCGTCTCCATGTGTCCTGAAGACCTAAACCTTGGAATTATTATTTGTAAAGAGAGAGGACGGTACCAGAAACATATCTGAAAAGAGAGAAACGTGGACACTGCTTGCTGGAAACGAAATAGACGCGAATTGAGTCCACCTAGACCGCTAGACGCTGCTGGCGGCGGATAAGAGACGCTGATGGCGGTGAAACAACCTAGAAAAAAGAAATAGTTCTGTTCAATGAAGAAATCATGGGCCCAAATAGCTGATGTGACGTGTTTGAAAATAGGATGGTGATAATTAGGGGAACTGCTGTGGGAGAACAAGTTTTAGGAGGGGTTTCAGTTTAGGGTGCACCCTGTATACGAAAATGAGATTAATTTAAGTGTTCTCTTGGAGATGCTGTAAGGTCCCTGGTAGACTTTTCTTTTTTGTAATTTCAGTGTTACTTCAATTAAATGATTAGAAGAATTGAAAGCTGCAGCCCATGCCCTCGACCATGGTTAAGGTATTGAACAGCAATACAGAAGTTTTGGTAATTTTTATTTTCCTGTTAGTTTGCATTAGAAATGGAAGATATGATAGAGATGTGGAGGGAAGGGACAGAGAGTCAGAGACCATTTTTACAGCCTCAGCGATACCATGTCCTGTGTGGTGAGGAAAGGAGAAATAAAAATCTGATATGGTTATAAATGGAGGAAAAAACCACAACAGAATTATGTTAATGAAAATGTTACTCAAATTTATGGTTGCATAATCTATCCTGAAGCCATTCCATCTTCTCATCTGTGTTCCTCTGTGAAGCTGCTGATGTACTATTGTGGAAAGACAAGAAGACCTCTGCTTCTGTAGTTGGTGGTGCAACTATCCTATGGGTTCTGTTCGAAATTGTGGAATACCATCTCCTGACCCTGGTTTCTCATGTGCTGATTGTTGCACTGACCATCTTGTTCCTATGGTCCAATGCCACTGTCTTTATCAAAAAGTAAGGAAGAGATACATAGATTTATATGCACTTCACGCTGACCAAATTTCTTAAATATCAAGTGTTTCACTTTCAGGAGTCCTCCTGATGTTCCTGAAGTGCAGATATCTGAAGATCTTGCTGTGAACATTGCTCTAGCATTGCGTGCTGACATCAACAAGGCACTTGCCTTGCTTCGGGAGATTGCTCTGGGCCATAACCTGATGAAGTTCCTAGGCGTATAAATCTCAGAGACCCATTTGTTTTTTTCCCTTTTCAGTGACAGTTTGCAAGGTTACACTGACCAAATCATTGTTCCAATGTTTCAGGTGATCGTTGCCCTTTGGATTCTTTCAGAGATCGGAGAGCTCTGCGATCTCCTGAGATTCATGTACATTGGTATGGGTTTTTACGCTCCAAAAACTCTGTTTTAGTGATTCTTTGAGCTCCCACTCTAGTTAGCTAAACATCAATTCTCCAAACAGCGGTCTTGATCCTCCATACGGTGCCGATATTGTACCACAAGTATCAGGACCAGGTGGACGAGTTCGCTGCAAAGGCACACAGTGAGCTCTGCAAGCAGTACAGGGTCCTGGACGCCAAAGTTCTGAGCAAGATTCCGAGAGCTCCACCAAAAGATAAGAAACAGAACTAGAACACGCCAAACTCAGACCTGGAGGATGACAGGCGACTTGTTTTCAGCTTGGGCGGCGAGAGTTTGTATTCAATGGTCTGATGCGGTTCGTCATTCGTGGGCTTTGCGTAGGTGTACAGTTATCACGTATATGTTCTGGTCGTGTAACCCTATATGTTTCTACCAACCTGTACGGATGTAGACGACCCTCAAAAGTGTCGTAAATATATTCCACCAGGAATTATTTTGGGTCCTGGATTTAATGGCCTTTTGGTTTAATGTGTATATGTAGCTTAGGACTCAGGCAGTTGTGTTTATTTATTTGCTCATTCTTAGTGGAGAGTTTTACAACCTTATTTTCAAGAACGTAGAATGTAATGAAATATGAAAAAAAGTTTTATTTTATTGTTTCATAAACATTTAATTTTGTGGCTCATCTAAAGTTGAAAGCGAACTAAAAGAGTTCCGTCAGCATGGCACTTCTATTTTTTTCTCTTTGAAAAAATATTGCCACATCACAATGATAAGGTCGTAAGGTAATATGTCAAAACAAAAGGAGCATCTAATTCGGGAAGGTAGCCTCAAGAGTCAAGCCCAGAGGATCTCTCGATGAGTGGTGACCGATGGAAGACATGCTTGATGCCCGCGAAGACCTTGAACTGAAGGTCTGGAGTTTACGGCTGAGCAGGAGGTCCGCTTTTTGGTAAACCGTGATGTTAGAGTTCATTACTGGACCACATTTTTGTGGAGTACAGTTCATTAATTAATACCATTAATATAGTTCCTGAGACCTGAGTGTACTGTGGACATTGGAGGTGGTAGTTTGAGCCATGCTTGTGCTGTCTCAGATACCAGGTGCCTGATGTTGTTAAATGTTTGAACCTGAATTTTTTGCTCTTGATAGCAATGCTAAGGGTCCGGGGTTTTCCCCTGAAACCATAAGAAGAAACATCTAATTGGTGATTTTGTAACTAAGACACGAGATGATGATCAGCACTGCTTCCTTGAGTTGGAATTTACTGGACTAATATGTAGTACCAACTGAAGATTTCATAAATCTACTGAGGAGGTTGCTGATATTCAGAACTCGAAATAAAAAATGTCTACTGCAGCAATCTTGAACAATAGCACACGGCTCATATTTACTATTTCTACTATAGTCAGTTTATTGCATATACCATAAACTAAGAATGGGCTATATTTTGTTTAGATATCCCATGTTCCAGGTAATAGATATTCAAAACACTACAATCATGAGAAATAGTTGTTCCAACAAATACCAAATGAGAGTGGCAAGACCAAGGCGAAAGACCTAGACCAATTCTACCATCTACTCCGTACATTCGAAGGGGTTTGCTACAGACAAATCACGGACATGATTAACATGTATACGATGGGTACATGTTTTGTTTGTAAAATGTAACCGTGCACCTCTCGAGGCCCTTTTCTCCATCTGAAGCATCACATATTGTTCTGCAAAAAAAGCCCCATTGTAATTTGTGTTTCCAACTTCGAGCCTCATTAACTCTAACTCTCTCGCATTCAGTAGAAAGAATGAGGCAAAGTTGATTTGTGATCTGATGCCTCGATACATCAACACTATTTTCTTGAGATGGATATAAGAGCTTTTAATGAAATCCCTGTGTTTACGACGCCACCGATTCATTTCTCCTGAAATATAAGACTGAAGGGCAAAACAGATTAAAATGGGAAAACTCAAACCGCATTGGTACAAGATTAACACCAAGTCAAGAAAAAGAATATAAGAACATTGTGATCCACAAACTGTAACTGAAGAACTACCTTTAGTACAAGTTCTCCAGACATGGAAAGCATTTCATCAACTCAATAACCGTATCGAGATTAATACTATATGATGCGACAGCTAGAGTCTTGACACTGCTCAATGTTGTTGTCAAGCTTACAACTTTTAATCCCTGAATCAAGCATTGAACAAAACATCAAACAATGTGCAAATGCAGATGACATGAAAATCTCTGTAATAGAAAACAAAACTCAGCAGACTTTTCATGGGAAGAAAATAGAGTGCCATGACTACCTGAATAAATATGGTGCCAAACACGAGCCTGGTACGTTCAAAGCAATCATCATCAAGACAGCCTAATGTCTCCAGTTTAGGCGCAGAGATTATAGTTAAATTGGTTGGCTTGAATGATGAACAAGACAGAGAGATCTTTCAAGACAAGGGGCATCGACAATTATGACTTCCTGTAATAACTGGAGATTGTCTCTACAACAATAAGGCTGTGTTTAGTTCGTGAAATTTAGGAAGTTGGCTACTGTAGCACTTTCGTTTTTATTTGACAATTAGTGTTCAATCATGGACTAATTAGGCTCAAAACGTTCGTCTCGCGATTTCCAACCAAACTGTGCAATTAGTTTTTTTTCGTCTATATTTAATGCTCCATACACGTATCGCAAGATTCGATGTGATGGCTACTGTAGCACTTTTTGGGAAAGTTTTTGGAAACTAAATACAGCCTAAGAATCAGTGCCGACACCGATGTTTCTAAGGCCCTGTTTAGTTTCCAAAATTTTTTGCCTCCTACAGTAAAAGAGCATGTTTGGACACGTGCATGAACTAATAAATGTAGACGAAAAAAACTAATTGCACAGTTCTCGACAAAATCGCGAGACAAATCTTTTAAGCCTAATTAGTCTATGAAAAGCCTTAAGTGCTACAGTAACCCACATGTGCTAAGGACCGATTAATTAGTATCATTAGATTCGTCTCGCAGTTTCCTAATGGGTTTTGTAATTTGTTTTTTTTATTAGTATCCAAAAATCCCTCCCGACATTCTTCCCACACATCCGATGTGACACCCAAAAATTTTCACTCCCTAAGGGTATTGGAACTAATCCGGAGACAGCCAACCCCAAAGATGTCGCTAAGCAGCAAACACTCCAGGACAGGGCAGCTGGAAATCATGATATGCAGTGAGCCCTCGGAGAAGCTGACATTTTCAAGGCCGTGCTGCTTAAGGTGGGGAAAGTGAATCCCTTCCACTGAGCTATCCGGGAGCTCGCATTTGCTCAAGGTAGCAACTCGGAGGGTAGCTGAGAACCGGAAAGTAGAGGCAGGTGGCGGTGCCAACGGATACGGGCGATCATACCTATGTGTCATATGTTTCCCTTCCCAGAAATCAAGCTCCTGGAGGTTGTGAAGCGCCGGGGAGCTGAGCCAGGCGTCCACGGTGGCGGGACGGTCGTGGAGATAGTGCGGCGGGACGCAGAAGCGGCGGCCGGGGCTCGGGTGGGCGGAGAGGATGAGGGAGACCACGCTGGCGAGAGCCTCGTTGACGGCGGTAAACAACTTATCATCGCGGAGGCCCTTGGGCTTGGTGCAGAGGTCTCTGCCGTCGATGACGAGAGGGGAGGCGAGCCAGACGTGGCGCCACCGGGAGGCGAGGATTTGGGTGCGACCGACTTCCTTGGTGGAGAGAAGCGAAACTATCTCACCGAGGACGGCGTCGGGGAGACCGCTGATGCGGTCGACGTCGCCGCCGCCGCCGCCGCCGCGCGGCGGTTCCTCGCTGTGGGTTGTAGGTCCTAGATTGGCCGCCTCCGTGGCTTCCGTCGCCCGTGGCGGGGGCTCACCGGCTACGAGGTCCTCGGATCTCCTCCTCTTGGCACTAGGACACATAAGTTCCATCTCCGCGGCCGGCGGCCGGCGGGCGGTGGCTTGTGGGGAGGCAGCGCCGCAGAACCGGCAGTCCGGCACAGAGGCTCTGGACTCTGGTGTGTGCGGTAGTGTGAGGCTGGGCCATGCTGGGTTTTATGGACCAACACAAAATGCAAACAGGTTTGTGATCTGGTCACCGTTTCGCAAGGTTCTTATATATCATTATAGCATTAAAAATCTAATTTTTATGGACGAAACTGGCGCCCGGACGTTCCGACACCCTGCGAGCCCTGTCTATTGCGCCGTCACTCCACGTACCGCCTGACTCCACGTGGTGTCTGCGCCCCCTCTCGACCCCGCGCGTCGTCTGTGCCCCACGCAACCCCTCGCACCCTCCGGTAGCTGCAGCAGACGAGTCACGTTGCAATATGTGTAATACCCCAATCTACTTTTAAAACATTCCGATACAATACTTGCAACATGTGTCTAAAGACAGATAAAGCAGTTGAATTGAAACATGCGTCTGAAATACTCAAAAAAAACAAAAAAAAATACATGAAACCGTTGCTAACATACGCAACATTAAGATTAAATACTTGCAACATATGTGTGAAACATATGCAACATCCAGATAAACACACTTGCAACATACGTCTGAAAAAATAGAAGAAACATTAGGAATAGACGTTTGCAAGATACGTGTACAACCATTGGAACATATGCAACATCCCGATATACTTTTGTAGCATCCATACGAAACACTTACAACATACCTCTGAAATATTTAAAACACTTGAAATATACGTTTGCATCATGCATTTGCAACATCGGAGGAAGGAAGGAAGCGCGAGGTGCAGCTGGAGAAGCCCGCTCTAGGTCTAGCCACTCTAGATCTCGTGATGTCGTGAGGTGAGGTCGAGCGTCGTCGTAGCAACGACATCGACAGCAGCCATGACCTCATGGTGGGGAACGGTGGTGTCGGCAGCACCTCGACGCGCGCGCGGGATGGGCATGACGTGACAAGGCGGAGTGAACACGACGGGGGATGGACCGTGGCGCGGCTGCAGACGTGGCGCAGGATGGGATGATGCCGTGAGGCGGCTTGGGGCGGGGCGGACGGCGTAGTGAGCCGCGACGAGAGAAGCAAGAAGTTGGGGATTTCTATTAGCTATCGTAGTGTAGATAGAGGAGAGTGCGTAGATAGGGAGAGAGCGTGTAGAGTCAAGATGGCGGACTAGAGGGGGGGGTGAATAGTCCTTTTTAAAACTAAACGCACCGGCTAACCGAAACAAATGCGTAAACTACTTAGCTACACAAACTAAGCAATATGACTAACAAGGTTACTAAAACCAAATCAGCCACGCAAGGGAGCTACTTCTATGCTACACAAGCAAGAAGGTAACTAGCAAGCTACACAAACTAACTAATTATAAGATCAACTACACAAGCACAATGTAAAGAATGTAAGTATAAGCTTGTGTAGGGGAATTGCAAACCAATCGGGGAGAACAATGTTGACATGGTGATTTTTCTTCCGAGGTTCACGTATTTGCTAATACGCTAGTCCCCGTTGTGTCGGCCGCTCACTTGGTGGTTCGGCGGCTAATTGGCATCACCCACCAAGCCCACACGTTGGGCACCGCAAGAACCTACCCACAAGTGAGGGTAACTCAATGACACGCTCAACTAGAGTTGCTCTTTGCGGCTCCCACGGGGCGAGCACAATACCCCTCACAATCACTTCTCTGGAGCATCACACAATCTTCTTTGCGTGCTTCAACGAAGACCACCACCAAGCCATCTAGGAGGTGGCAACCTCCAAGACTAATAAGCACCATCGGTTTGCAACTCGATCACCTAGTACCACTCGATGCAATCTCACTATGCAATCACATTAGAATTGCACTCACACTTAATCGAATGATCACTATCAAACATATATGAGTTAAGGGGCTCCCAATCATACCTACACAAGCCGCCAAGGCTTAAGGGTGTTCAGCAACCAGCCCAAGGCCGAGCTCCACCTCTTTTTATAGCCCCCAAGCCAAATACAACCGTTAGAGCAAAGCTGTTGGTTTCTATCAGGGCACCGGACAAGGCGGTGCCCCTCCCAACAGTCAAATTCCAACGGCTCGTTGGTCACCGGATAGGGGTGACGGTGGCACCGCCCTAGGGGTGGTAGTGACCACCCAGGACAACCCCCGAGAAAACCATCTCTTTGGAAAATTAGAATGGTGCACCACCATCACCATGGCGGTGACCATGGCGGTGACCCCCTACGCTCAACACCGAACTCGCCAGCCTCGGTTAAAAAACGGTGGTGACACCAGACAGGGTAGGGCGGTGCACCGCCCCTGGCACGGCAGTGTACACCGGTGGCGGCGGTGACCATGTCACCCACGCCCGCACGAGACAACCCTCCAGCTGGTCACCGGACACAAGGGGGTGGTGCCACCGCCAGGGCAGGGCGGTGTGAAAGGTCCTAATATGGCTAGAGGGTGGTGAATAACCTATTTTAAAGACTCTACAAAGCACTAGGGCAATTGATTAGTACAACAAACTGCGTAATGCAATTTTGCTCTAGCTCTACAAGGGTTGCAAGCCACCTATTTTAACAATTCTAGTTGCTATGATCACTATCACACATAACAAGCTAGGCCACTACTCACTAAGCTAGTGTGCTCTCAAAGACTAACTAAAGAGCCACACTAACCAAACTAACAAGCTCTCAAAGACTAACTACACTAAAGAGCTTGACAACTAGCTTGCAAGGAATGTAAAGGAGTGAGTAGGGTGATTATACTGCCACATCGAGGAATGAACCGATCACAAGATGAATACCAATTCAATCACCGGGAGAATACCAAAGGACAAGAGACAATCAATGTTTCTCCTGAGGTTCATGTGCTTGCCGGCACGCTAGTCCTCATTGTGTCAACCAACACTCGGTGGTTCAGTGGCTAAGAGGTGTTGCACAAACCTCGTTCCACATAATTGGACACCGCAAGAACCTACCCACAAGTGAGGTAACTCAATGACATGAGCAATCCACTAGAGTTACCTTTCGGCTCTCCACCGAAGAAGGTACAAGACCCCTCACAATCACTGGAACTAGCCACGAACAATCACCAACACGTGCCGAAGCTCCTCCGCTGCTCCAAGCCATCTAGGTGGTGGCAACCACCAAGAGAAACAAGAAATCCGTAGCCACAACGATCCACAAGTGGCACTAGATGCAATCACTCAAGCAAATGCACTTGGAATCACTCCCAATCTCACTATGATGATGAATCAATTATGGAAATAAGTGGGAGGTGTTGGCTAGGCTCACAATGATGTCAAGTATGTCAAAGCGCTAAGAAAAGTAAGCACCAAGCCAGCCAAACACTATTTATAGACGTCCCTAAACGAAGAGAGCCGTTAGAGCCAAAGGAGGTCACTCTGCGTACTGACCGGATGCAGCCACGTGTCCCCTGCGTTCAAACCTCAGTCGTCCAATCTCAACGGTCAACTCTCAATTGCTCACATGTTAAGTGATGACCGGACTCGCTGCTTGCACCACCTGACGCAAGAGCCCTCAGCGTCTGGTCATTTCTAGAGATGTTCTAGAGGAGTTTTCTATTGACCGGACGCGTTAGGTCAACGACGACCTGATGCGCTCCGGCGTCCGATCGCCTTTCTTCTTCTCTACATTCGCCTGCGAAGCCAACATCACCGTACGTTAGCACGACCTGACTCAGACCCTACGCATCCGATCGTGCCACCGCGCCGCTGCTCAAAAGGTGACCGGACGCACCGGTGCAGCCAGGGCCAGCGTCCGGTCCCAACACCTTGCCTTTGGTCAACTATGCTACGCTGCTTAAAAATGACCAAACTCAGGGTCCAACGTCCAATCAGACCGACGCCAGTGTCCGGTCAGCAGCCTTCGCCTCCTTTTCTTTTTCTAAGTCTGCAACCACTTTGCCCTTGCTTCTAACTTGCTAACCACAAAGTGTAGAACTTGTGTGCACGTTTGTTAGCATTTGTCAAAGTATTTTACAAGGGTCAAAGTTAACACACTAGGTTTTCCTAAATGCATATGCAAAAGTTATGTCACCTAGTGGCACTTGATAAACCGTTTAGCCAAAAATTTCCCCTCTTTATAGTACGGCTATCGATCCTAAGTCACTCACACCCTCTATGGTGTCTTGAGTGCAAAACAAAAACCTATCATATACCTTTGCCTTGATCTTCTCGATTTTTATTTTTCTCTTTCTTCTTTTCCAAGTTGGGCTTGATCATCATCAACACATGTCCATCTTCATCTCCATGGACTTCATCACCATGCTCCACACTTGGATTGCACCAACCTAGCTCATATCATAACTCATGACAAAGGTTAGTGCTAGGTTTCATCAATTATCAAAACCAAACTAGGGCTTTCAATCTCCCTCTTTTTGGTAATTGATGACAACCTATTTACAAAGATATTCAATAAAATCTATTTGGATTCAGGTTGCTTGCCCAAGCATATTACTATGTGTAAAGGTTATGGACAAGTTTCATCAACCCAAATTGTTAGTATTAGCCCCCCCTATATATGTGCTAAGAGTTTAGATTTAAAAGCTTGTACATATGCATGGTTTAGAAGTTTGGGAGAGTAATAGCTACCAAATGATGGTAAGGTGTAAAGAATGGACCTTTGAAGCGTGATACCAATCGGAGTTGTCATTTGACACCATCCTTAGCACCATGGTTAGTTAGATATCTCTTGCAAAACATAGACACTAGATACCTTGTGAGATCAACATTATAAGCAAGGCACTAGTATCACTTGTAAAACATGCAAGGCATATATAACTATCATCCTATGCATGCTAGTTTTCATTTCATCAATCATTTTCTACAATCTAGCATACACCACACAAGCATGGATAGGGAATTTAAAGAACTTATGCCATGCAAGCAAACAAATGTAATGCACATACAAATGCATCATACGAGTTTATGAGCTTGCTACCCCTACTTGTGTGCTTCAAATTTTAATTGAT